TTACCCCTTAAAAAAAAATCTCTGGTAAGAATCGTTTTAGAAACCCATACATAATACATAGAATCATTTCTTTATTTCCAAAAATCATCGATCTTACGATCAAGTAACTAACACATCATGGATTAAACATTAGATAATATGTAATACCCATACGTAAGTATATCTACTTTGATATCATCAATGTTATTGAATTTCGCTTAATATAAAACATAGGCTTTCGTGTTCGCCTGCCCTGTATTTGTAATTTCCTTTGCTCAAGGCTTATAAATTTTATTTTCGCGCGAACTTTCCCTTTTATATTCTGAAATAGAATTTTATATCTCATAAAGTGGTACTGCGTTTATGAATACAAAAATACTTCAACAAAATGAGGTTTAAAGAAACCATTTAAAGAGATATTGAGTTAGTTGTGAGGTTGGATGGAATATTCTGTCATCGTGCAGTCTGGTAAATATGTCATGAATACAATGCAGTTTTATAAATACATATTATATAATTATTTTTTCATTTTTATCCTTATTTTCCATTCAAACCATAACTACCAACTATGTACTAAAATATCGATGACCATATTGTACGACGCTATTTTCATTCGAATAATTACAGCATTCCTTTTCACGCAAAGAATGAATGAGCATTGAATAAAAAATTACGTATGTTACGTAAAATTTTAATGAAATTCACCAGCCATTCAATAGTTTCTGTATAGGTAGCGGTTTAATATTGTAGAACATTCCGGAAACTTGCTTGCATATGCCAAACTCAAACAGTAGAGCTACAGTATGGAATGTTCATTAGTTAAGGCGAATTGTTAATGTTCCTATACCTCTTTATAAAATTCCGCGTCCACCATTGTAATGAGAGAACAATGAAAAATTACTATTATATGCTAATAATACGTAATACAACAACTTACTCTTCCAACAATACGTAAAAATGAAAATAAATCTGTAACTAGGCGAAGTATGCAGTCGATAGCGAATATGTTGGCAGTTGGCACCATTTTTAACAAGAAATTGCAACGAGGGAAACTTAAGAAGACAAATGTTAATTAATCAATGACTGTTTTATTATTGCATACAGTTCATAGGCACACCAAAAACATATCAAATCCGTGATAAATGTATATTTTCCTTGATTTTGTCACCATTCAGCTTTTGAATTATTCAAGCGAACTGTTAGTAACTAGGTAGTAGTTACCTAATTCTACTATTCAGCTACTACTACTAAAGTAGTAGTCTTCAGCTATTCATTAGGCAGAAGAACACATAGGAAGCATTAACTAAAAAATCTTCTTTGCGGTGATATCTATGAGGAATCAAAACACAAAATAAATAGCGTTGGCTGACGTAACCACTATTTCTGGGCTTCTAGTATAGTATATCGCGGCAAACCTTTTCTAGACACATTAACAAAGATCTGCAGTTGCCTTTATCATCATCAGCTTGGAACTGTTAACTGCTGAATGAAACTTAATCGTCTGCCATGGTGGATAGCCGATTTCGCAAGTCCAAATTTCAATTTGTCAACCATACAATTCAGAAACAATAAGCGAAAACTAAAACATCCTACTGTTAAAATAATTGTCACAAGTGGTCTGTGGTCTCCGAGTGAGTCGCGTCATAGACCAATAAATAAATCAATACAATGAGATCAGTTCTGACTATTTAACGTGTACGGCTCCAAGGCCAAATGAATTTGGTATCAATTTAGACGCGCGCTCAAGAAATGTATTCACAGTAACTAATATTATTCTTGAATCTACAAGTTGTATAATATTGCTTTGACAAGCCATGTGTGTGAAGATAGCAGAATATAATAACAATTACATTAATTGTCACCACCCCTAGTATGTTCGAGGGTGTCGTAAGAGGCACGACGGAAATTAATCTTACATTGATCGTGGATTAAAATCGGTTGCTGATTTCGGCTGTAAGGAGTAATCCCTTTGAGAGATTGGACATCAAGGCTTTCTGATTAACCTGAACCTTTTAAACTGCGGTCACCAACCCCCTTGCCGCTTGCCATCGCCAAAACCCTTTATGTAGCCATAGTCCCGAATTGTACTGTCACGGACTGCAGATGATATAATTTACAAGTTTCTAAGTACTCTTTTTAGCTCGACACTGGCAGTATACGTGACAACATTGTATTGGAAACTCGGTTGCCATTCAACAAAAAAACCTCTTTCTAGATTATTGCAACTACTAGTTAGTAGATGTAGATTCAAAAATTCAAAGAATGCTAGGCAATTAATATTTGTATAGTGAAAAATGGGACAGTTAGTCTATTTTTTGTCGTCTGGCAATGTTCCGCCGTTAGAGCACTAGTTTTATTTTTGATAGTTTTTGGCTAGGGTGTGTATAATTCGGAAACATTTTGACAGCACATACAGTTGGCACAGTGAGTGGGTTACTGTCTGTTGTTTAAAGAATCACATGTTCGTTTTTTTTTTTATGGGGGCAGTGGACAAACGAGCAGTTGGATCTCCCGTAACTTCAATCACAAAAGTTAGGAGCAAATTCCCGACATTGTAAATCAGCTCGCCCTAGAGGATTAGTTTCGGCACGCGGAACAACCAATTCCATATGAGTTTGTGTTTTTAAATAAAGACCTTGTAACTTGAAAACGGTTCATTAGGGGTAATGTTATTAAAAAAACAACGAGGCATCGCCGCTCCATGGTACTAACTCCCTAAATAATTAAAATGGATCCCCTAAGGAGTTTATTGTCCACAGAGTGTTAATTACCAAGGCCTCATATTCGCCGTAGACGTTTATTTATACAAACAGATGGATACGCCTCATTATTACATAGTATCCGAATCTATGTCAATATTAGATGACTTAATAAAGTAACAGTATTTGAATTCCGTTATTTATTAGGCGATTGGCGAGAGCCATTATTTTGTTTTGATAACATTCATTAATTTAGTGTGATATGGATATCCTTTGTAACTGTTAAAAAAATAGATTTGAAAACTAGCGGTTGTTTCTGAGCTGCGAAATCATAATTTAATCAATAATGGAATAAAATATTCAGTATCAATCAACCTATACACTGGTAAAAATCGTACGCGAATTTGTTCAGGAGTTTTCGAGTTTATCCAGTATGAAGCAGAACATATGAGTATATTCCAATCAACAGATAATTATTAAGCATAGAATAAAGTTAACATCTGCCAGTATTTAGTGTTTATAATGATAAAATCATACAACGATTAGACGTAAAAAATTGGCGTCATTTCAGACTATGTACCTATTTAATAAGAGAAGGAGGATATATTAGAATTTCATTTGTCTCGGTAGATTTTTTTACCCCTGTGTATTTCACCTTGAGTTACTAATTTTTATATCTTCATAATTCTACATTGCATACCCCAAACAAGGGAGTATGAAGTGGTCTATTAAATAAGCATATTGGTATGCACCACAGACTATAGTACGTACCGCAGATAACTATGCACTGTCAATGAACTTGAATGACTCATTTATAACATTACTATAGTTAACTGTCATAGGGGTCCAACACAGTTGATAGCTGCATTCATGTATCATTAAAAATGATAAAAAAAGGTGATAGAGCAAGGAGATTGGTTTGGAAATTATAGACTCAGCGAGGCCCAAGGCTCTAGAGCTATGTTCTAGGTGCTTATAAAAAAAAGATAAATCTTTGTGTATTTGGATCCTAAATGATTTAGCATCATATACTAATGTTAATTAGCTGGTTGTGACATATGGGCATTATTTATGTAAAACTTCCTATGTTTATATGTACATGTTTTTCTAAAAGCATCACATCAGCCATTTCGGTCATTCCTACCTACATATTATGCTAATTAGATTGGTAATTCCCAATTAGGGAAAACAGATATGTATTTGTTTTTATATATTGACTAAGAAGTTGAAATACTGTATTTGAATATCTATTATTATTGTTGCTAATAAAAAATTTTCTAAGGGTAACAATTACAATATTAGGTGTAATATAGTGATCTTTACCATCCAGCAAGAATTCAATTGGATACTTGCCAACTAGTCAAATTCAATACTTTTTCCAAACTGTCAAAAACAATAGTTACCTATGAATTTGATATGAGATAATGTATTGTGGCGTCACGTTTTTTAGCATCAAACAGCATACTTATTTCTTTAAAAATTGCTGGAAAATATTAAAATTAAGTTGGTCATAAAATCAATGAAGTATTGAAAATGTGTCATTTTTTATATTTTATTGCATTAAACATTCGAAATAAATTACTTTTGATTAAGAAAAGTACTCAATTCTTTTGTTTCATTAAAGAGTGTTAATGAGGCACAGATTTCATTCAAAATTTCAAGTCTCAGAATCATAGAACCTTTTAAAACCAATTTGTTCATCATGAAAACTAATAACTACTTTTCAACTGGTGTAGGTACAAAAATTCTAAATATTGTTCTCTCACGACTTTCAACATGTAGGTCATTGTTGATCTATGCAAAATTATGCAATTTATTTTTAAAAAAGCAATTTTATTTATGCATACACCTAATATTTTATCTGTGATTCACCAAAATGTAGAGAAAGTATGTCAACACTAAACACTGACTTTTTAATTTATTCAAATTGTACTAAAACTGTAATTAACTTGTGTACAGATAGTAAAACATATATTTGCATTGTTTAGGCATTTGAAGATGTTTTATTTAATATTAAGTAAGTACTTATGTACAAATTACGGTTTCTTTATTATTCTGTGTTATAAAATTATATTGGAAACTACAATAAAAGTCTGATAAGAATTTAAACATTGCGTAACTTATTTTATTAGACTACAAGTTAACTTCCAATACAAATTCTTAATTGTTGTTTTGTTTTACAAAGATAAGCAAAGGTTAATTACGTATTCAGCCTGTTCCTGTTATACCTGATAGTTTTTCGCGCCACATAAGTCCGCATATCAATACGTGATTGGAATAATTAATTGTGTAGGTACCAAAGTTTTAAGGTTTTTTACTTACTCTCCTTCTCGTGGTCGAAGCCCACAATAACGAAGTAGTCGACGAGCCTGGACATTGCACTCCTACGGCAACATTCCAGCACAAATACAACAAATACACTTTGTAATTGGATTACACGAATTTACACTCATTTTAAACACAAAGCTTCTCGATTACACATTTTTCCAGCACGTAACTGCTTAACGACAGATTCGTACACACAACGCGTAGGATTCGCACACCATACACTTCACGGAATGTAAACAACACTTTCATTTATCGCGAGCTGAAGAATTTTTAGCTTCAATTACGAGAAAGATTATAGATTGTCCAGACGAAGAGGTTATACAGTAGTCTTTACGGTATTACCGGTTTTTAACAAAACTTTATCGCAAATCACCTCATCTACTTTATAACACAAAGTTTAAGCGACAAATAACGTTCTAATTGGTATATTTTCTAATAAAAATATTAATAAACGTCATTACAACCGCAACCTACAGCTCGTCCGTCGGACATTTCTAAAAAAACTACTGTGACTTAAATTCTACCGTTACGAATTGCCATAGCTAGTTTTCAAATTCTACCAATTCTGTTAGTAAATTTTAACGTACAAGAGATTTGAGCGAGATGACGATTTTGTGCCAAAATCTCTGGATTGATGTAAGTTTTTGATAGAAATTACGAACAATTAAAGTAAAAATCAATCTTAAACTGTCAAACACCAAGCGGTCACCGGTGACCGCAACCTATTGTTCTATAATTGTGTCTACAAAACCGGTACTCGACGAGTTAATCTTAATTCACATGATATTGGTTAAATTCCGTTCGTAGGTATATCTGTTGACGACACATGATTTGGTTTATTTTAAATTTTTTTTTTATTTTTCATATAAATTGTGTCAAAATATGTGTCACTATTATACTTGTAATGGGCGAGCAGTGAACAAACAACTGACCGACGTCACTTCAACCCCACCACCGAGTGATATATAAAGCAGCGCAAGCGCAAGCTCGAGTCAGTCGTTCGTCGATCGTTGCCCAGTTCACACGTTACGCAATCGCTGAGTAATTTTATTGTTGGTTTTATTTGAGTGTTTCCTTTATATAATCAGTGCTGAATTATTCAATTATTATAATTAAAAATTAATGTGAAAGTAAGTTCATTTAATCGAAATAAACTAAGTGATTGTGTGAAGCCCTTTGTTTTATTTTCAAATAATGTCGGACCCTGATCCTACATCAGAAGTGGGATGGACCGGGATTATTGAAAATGTTAAAATTATCGGAGCCGGTTCGTGAAGAACTACCTACATGCAAATGCGACGAAGAAGATAGTGCTGC